GAGACATGGAACTCTTCACTAAAGTATGGATCTGTGGGTATCCGCGTTTACTTCTCTTTTTTTTCTTATTTTATAAAAGCAATGTCTGTTCATGACTTAAAAATCAAAAAACACAAATTATCCAGGGCTTACTGGTTGCAAGAAACAAACTCAGTTCAAACAATTTAATCAAAAGATTGTTGGGCTTCCCAACCAGCTCATTCTGACCTATTTCAGATTTAAGAACAGCTGGATCCAAGGCTTAAGTGACATGTCCAGGGTCCACAGTCCTTCACTCTAGGCTCTGCATCCCTCATTTTGTGGGTGAGCTATATTTTTACCTACTACCCACTACTTTCTCCAGGCAACCAGAGAGAACATCCACCCACTTTCCATCTAGCAACTCAAGAGTGGAAAAACAAGCACTTTCTCAAAGTTTGCCTGTCAGGCCAAGAAAAATTAATGATTGAGCCTACCTGAATCAAATGCTTTGAGCCATCTTCGCAGCCAGGGGTATGAAAAAAGTACCAATTACCAATGCAATTGCCTTCATGTTAATTGAATAGAATTTGCACGGCAGTTGCCTCTCCCACCTTACAATGAACTGTGCTGTGTACTCTCTCTGATGATGCCTGCACAACCTAAACTAGACTTGAGATAGTCGTGTGTTCTTTCATCCACAAGAAGCCTACCCTGCCAGGAGCTGTGCTAAGTCCAGAGGATACAAGCAGACACATCTCCTGCCTTAAACTACTGAACTAGAAGCACCCCCTACAGTGAAAGCTATTCCTATCTCCATGGGGCCCCCCTGGGAGCACAAGTGGTCTCTACCTCCACACAGTTGTATGAGTGGAGATATTTAGTTACTTACACTAAGGTGTTATTATTCTGATTCCCAAAGTTATACTCAATCCCTTTTGAAAACCTGCTTCCAGCATAAGTTGCTTGTTTGACTAACATGGACATGAAGTGAACAATTGTCATTGAGGTTGAATGGAACAGGAATTAGGGACACTCCGATCATCCCAGAATTTTTCTATAGTATATTTATAAATGTGTTCTTCAATATTATCAGTCCCCTAGTTCTTCAATTAGTAAATACTCTTAACATCCATGAGTCTTAAAATAGCAAAAAGCAGGCCTCCCTGGTGGCGCAAGGGGTTAAGCACCGCACTATGAAGCAATCCACAGTCTCTGCAGCACGAGTTCGATCCCTAGCTGGCCAGAGAGCAACCCACGTGGCGCAGCAGACCTCTCCTGTCTTGCCCGCTGCTCCCCTCAGCAGTGTGTTTCAGTCGGTCTGCCTGTTCTGTTCCCCACTCTGTCTCTGGTGAATCCTTCACCACCTGCATCTCTGGCCTGTGCCCCAGCTCTTGTATGCATAAATAAATAAATCTTTAAAAAAAAAAAAAAAAAAAGGGGCCTCCCCGGTGGCGCAGCGGTTGAGCGCTGGGTTGCGAAGCTGCCCGCTGCCTCTGCAGCGCCGGTTCGATCCCCGGCTGCTCCCCGGCCACCGGAGGAGGGTCCCACATTGGTGCGCAGACCTCTCCTGCCGCCCGCTGCTCCCCTCAGCAGTGTACTTCGGTCCTTCTGCCTGCTCTGCTCCCCGCTCTGGCTCTGGTGAATTCTCTCACCCTTCCACGCTTCTGACTGTACCCAGTGCTTGTATAAATAAATAAAATAAATCTTTAAAAAAAAAAAAAAAAAGATAGCAAAAAGCTGTATTGGAAACACAGCTCTGAGCTCTAATGTATTCATCCCCGCATGCTGTGCAATTCTGCATATTATATCTTTTGTTTCATGGATAACAATGAAGATGAAATCTTAGTGCCAGTTACTTTGTGTGTATAGCTGAACCTTTTCTTCTCTCTCTTAAATTAAGCATGGAAATCTTCAAGTTAGTCTGGAGCCAACATCCCCTGCATTTTCCAACAAAGATACAATCCTTTCAATACAATTACACAGAAGATACAAAAGCACAAATATAAATACACATGCAATTATATGTCATTTATATAAAGGAGAAATCTAGGGTCTTTTTTTTTTTGACTTAGGAAAAGGAATACTCATTGTATAATTAGATTGTTTTAATTTTGTACTAAAAATTAAATTGAAAATAGCAAAAATTCAACTTACATGCAATGTGTGAGGAATACATCTATGTGTAAAGAGAGATACACCAATAAAGATTTAACAATAACATATATGTGCTTTTTTTCTAGGACCACCTGAGCCCAATCTCCTTTCCAATTCTGTGATGAACCCATACGTTTGCCGATTACCCTCAGGTCTTGGATCCAAATTAACATTTGGTTGGTGGCACTTGTAGGGGAAATGTAGCACAGCAGATTGGAAATTTATGAACCTCCTGGAAAAGCTATTTGCTAAACTTGTGTCAAATCTGCTTGAGTCGGCTGTGGCAGCTGCAAAATCGAGGTGCCTGGGGTGCAGATGGTATTCCTGTCACATGGCCAAGTGTTGGCTAAATCCCTCACATCACAGCACCCTCAGTCAACGGAACTGGGACCTTCTAGTAGGGCACCTGTACCCCACTCCAGTCACCAACCAGGCCACATAGGGCTGCAGCCTTGAGACAGGCATAGGAGCAGAGAAGAGTAGAGACAGAGCAAGCTGCATTCGTCAAAGTACACAATGCCTGGGCTTAGAAGTATGCTCTCTCCAGAAGCACCAAGAATACTTAGAAAACTCCCATTATTACCCAAGATACCTCCCTCCAGCAATGCAACTCTTTCTCCGTCCCACTCAAAAGGTATCAACTGTCTAATGTGGCATCTCTGGACCCTGCTAATCTGGACCTGTCTGCCTTCAAACACCCACAAGAACTTCACCTTTCACACATTCTGCTTATTCTTCCTCCAATACTGGCTCACCGGAGTGTATCTTTGGGGTTTTACTTCTGCTTGCAGGGGTGGGGGTTGTCCCGCAGGAGGAGAAACTATGCCCTGGGGAACCCAGAGTAGAGAATTAGAAGCAATGCACAGAATTAGGTTAATATTGCATGGAATTTTTTTTTTTTTTTTTTTTTTGCTGTCCAGTTCTGTTTTTTTCCATTCTTTTTTTGACTTTTTAAAAATTTATTTTTATTATTTTTTAATTTTATATATATATTTACATCATGTTTCAATTTTGCACCATGTATGCATTTTCATCTTGGTTATAGTCCCCATACAATTCCCACCCCACCTTGTTTTGATCCTACTCCTTCCTCCCGCCCTGTAGTGCATGGAATTCTTAACTACACTTGCAGCTCAGCATCCTGGCTGCTCAGATGGAGTATGGACTCTCCTCTGAGCCCCTGAGCCACATATCCGGGTGCCTGGTCCACATGCAGCTCCTTATACCTGGAAACTTACATGCAATTCTGTACTATCTCCTGCTTTGAACTCAAGTCCTGTTGAGCTAAATACATTCTCCAAGAGATTTTCCTTTATGTTACTTTCAAAATTAGGTCACTTCCCCCCATAATGCCTTGTCCTTTCCCTTCATAGCACCTATAATTTTTATTGTATATTAATCTGTTTGGTTATTATTTTCTCTCTCACTATACTGTGGCCACAAGGAGAACATGGACTATGTCTGTTCTGCTCAGATTATATACCCAACAATTAAGTGTTCAATATTAATTTACTAAATAAATTATAAGTTTTTTGGGGTTTTTTTAGTGCAATCATGTAAAGCTATAAATGTCTCTCTTATCAGTGCTTTAGCTGTATCCCACAAATTTTGATACTGATGTATCCTCATTATCATTTCAGTTTAAATATTTTGTAGCTTCACTCTTGATTTCTTCAATGATACATAGCTTATTTAGAAGTATATGGTTTTAATTTCAAATACCTTGAATTTTCCTAGATATTGTGTTATCACTGATTTCAAAATAATTACATGGTGGTCAGAAATCAGATTCTTCTTTTTTTTTTAATTTTTTTAAAAGATTTATTTATTTATTTATACAAGCACTGGGTACAGTCAGAAGCGCGGGAGGGTGAGAGAATTCACCAGAGCCAGAGCGGGGAGCAGAGCAGGCAGAAGGACCGAAGTACACTGCTGAGGGGAGCAGCGGGCGGCAGGAGAGGTCTGCGTGCCATGTGGGACCCTCCTCTGGTGGCTGGGGAGCAGCCGGGGATCGAACCGGCGCTGCAGAGGCTGCGGGCAGCTTCGCAACCCAGCGCTCAACCGCTGCGCCAACGGGGAGGCCCCTAAACACCCCATTTTTAACATTTCTCCATCACAACATTATGTCTCTCTTATTTCCAATCTCAGTAATGAAAACTGAAACATTAGAAAACTGCCATGAGCAAAAAGATTATTTCTTTTAATGCTAAAAGGAGAGGTGTAACCAAGAAGCTGGCCCATCCCCTACTTGCATCCCTGATACAGGAATCACTCACTAAAGAGATGAGTTGTGGGATCTCTCCCAACTTCCCAAACTTTCTGTGAAAGTTTCTTTCTTGAATCATGAAAAGCAGCTCTACTCATTTCTAACATTTTTATGCCTTTCACTTTATTAAATGTGGGGCTTTCAATAATGCATGAAAAGAAAATCATTTCATGGCTAATAAAGTAGGATTGGCAGACAAACTTTTTGACTAGAGCATCTAACTGTGAACACAATCAATGCAACTTTAACAAGTGTTTCAGTCTGGTATAGATTCAGGGGAGAATTTCACAGCACTCAGAGGAAATCAAGCACAAGGTTAACTGTGATTTTTCTTCTGTTTGAACCTCCTGAATATCTTTTATTCCTGCTGTGGGAAACACCTGGCAATACAGATCTTTAGACTGTCATACACAGAAGGTTCACAGGTTTCCCCTAAATATTCAGCTTAAAAATTGGGGGGTTTGTTTTTTCAGTAAATTGCTATCATTTGATTGCTAGAGAAACTTATTGCTGGTTTTAGGTTGTTTTCAGTCTTTTTATTTTTTTATTTTTTTTTTTTGAGAGTTTTTTTTTTTTTTTAATTTTTTTTTTAATAGAGGCATGTTTGAGCGCACTTCCGGCAGCCCTCGGGCCGGCCGCCGGCCGCCTTTGCTCCGCAGTTGTCTCCTCCCGGGCACACCTGGACGGCCGCCCGGAAGCCGTCTTGGAGTTCTGAAGCTCCTGCCCCTCCACACTCAAAACCCGTGGAGGTGGGTGGCCTGTTGCCAGTTCGAGTCCGTCGTGCGCTGGGAACCATCTACCTGGCCGCTCTCCCTCCCCGTCCAGCCGCCGACCATGCCCGCGGGCGTGCCCTGGCCCACCTACCTGAAAACGGTCGCCGCCAGCCTCCTGGCCATGTGCGCCGGGGCCCAAGTGGTGCACAGGTACTACCAGCCCGACCTGACAATACCTGAAATTCCACCAAAGCCTGGAGAACTCAAAACGGAGCTTTTGGGACTGAAAGAAAGACAACATGAACCTCAAATTTCCCAGCAGTAGAAAACTCAAAATACTGCTCTGGCAAGAACTTTGAATAGTATTATAAGTCTTTAATATATAAGTATTTTAAAATAGAGTTAAACTGCTTGTCCGTAAGCACCATTGCAAGAGCAGGTGCTTGGTAGATGTTAATGGAGCTCTAATTAAGGTTTGACCAGCGTTTCTTGAAAACTGCCACAGCTCATGTTTTCAACTTCTTGAATGTGGTTTGTAGATACTTAATCTTGACTAACTTATGAGATAAGAGTATTTGAGATACTGCCCTTATAATTCTGTTTTTCTCTCTGAATAAGCTTGAATATACGGCAAATGGAAAGTATTAGTGATAAGTGATATTGACAAGGAATACTTATCGTATGAAGCTAATATTTCTCTAAATATTGGAAAGTATTTGGACTAAGCAGAATAAAATTGAAATATTTAAAGCTTGAAAAAAAAAAATAGAGGCATGTTTTTATTTATTTATTTGTTTGTTTGTTTGTTTGTTTTGTTTATACATGCACTGGGTACAGTCAGAAGCACGGGAGGGTGAGAGAATTCACCAGAGCCAGAGCGGGGAGCAGAGCAGGCAGAAGGACCGAAGTACACTGCTGAGGGGAGCAGCGGGCGGCAGGAGAGGTCTGCGCGCCATGTGGGACCCTCCTCTGGTGGCCGGGGAGCAGCCGGGGATTGAACCAGCGCTGCAGAGGCCGCGGGCAGCTTCGCAACCCAGCACTCAACCGCTGCGCCACCAGGGAGGCCCTGTTTTCAGTCTTTTTAGATGTCATCAGTGCCCATTCTGGATGTCTAAGGTTATTAAAAATAAATCAAAAAAATTTCCATCTACCTAAGACTTTAGAAATCAGATTCTATCATTGTAGGAAACTTTTGAATGCTTATGGCAGACAGCTATCTAGGTGATAGGGCTTGAAAGGACCACAAAACCCCTATCACAGAAGCAGACTGTCCACCAGTTACTCCTTTGAGTGAGTCATTTTCTTCAGTCTCATGTTACAAAGTCTTGCCACCTCTGCACAGATCACATTAAGTTTTACTAAAATGTTGAAATATATTTGTTCATCTGATCAGTTGGTGATTCACTAGGCTTCTTTGGGTTCCCCTAACATTGTGAAGAAGTCTTACCTGTCAAGCTCTGTCTTCCAGTTAAGAGACTATCAAAATAATTCAATAAGAATATAATGAAGGCTTGGGCCTGCCCGGTGGCGCAGTGGTTGAGCGCTGGGTTGCGAAGCTGCCCACAGCCTCTGCGGCGCCGGTTCGATCCCCGGCTGCTCCCCGGCCACAGGAGGAGGGTCCCACATGGCGCGCAGACCTCTCCTGCCGCCCGCTGCTCCCTCAGCAGTGTACTTCGGTCCTTCTGCCTGCTCTGTTCCCTGCTCTGGCTCTGGTGAATTCTCTCACCCTCCCGCGCTTCTGACTGTACCCAGTGCTTGTATAAACAAAAACAAACAAACAAACAAATAAATAAATTAAACATGCCTCTAAAAAAAAAAAAAAAAGAATATAATGAGGGCTTGGAAGAGGGTAGTAGTGGTAAAGATAAGAAAACAGTAAATTGGGCCTCCCCAGTGGCACAGAGGTTGAACGCTGGGTTGCGAAGCTGCCCGCAGCCTCTGCAGCGCTGGTTCGATCCCCGGCCAACGGGCGAGGGTCCCACATGGCGCGCACAGACCTCTCCTGCCTCCTGCTGCTCCCCTCAGCATTGTACTTTGTCAGTCTGCCTGTGCTGCTCCCCGCTCTGGCTCTGGTGGATTCTCTCACCCTCACATGCTTCTGACTGTACCCAGTGCTTGTATAAATAAATAAAAATCTTAAAAAAAAAAAAGAAAATGGTAAATTCATGAAATCCTTAGGAAGATGAATCTAGAAGATGGGGTAACTGATTGGATGTGAGGGATAAGAGAGAAGTCAAGGAACCTTCATGGAATTCTAGCTTGGACAACTGAGCAAATAGAGAAAAGTGTCACCAACTGCACTGGCAAATATAAGAGAAGGAGCATATTTAGCTGAGATGATGATGACTTCAGTTAAATATGAAGACCTTGAGCAGCCTGCGGGGTGCCCAGAGGGGAACAACCACTTTCTGTGCTAGAAAATGTGCCATAGTATGGCATATCTGCACATCAAATGTGCCAGTTTGGTGGATAAACCACTTTACTGACCCTTCAAAAACGCAAGAAACTAGATATTGATTTTCCAAGACATCTGGGTTCATATGTCACATGACCCAAATACAATCAATCAGTTCACTCTACTCAACACTTTGTTTCATTACTGAAACAATAAAAGCAGGGGACAGACAGCTGGAAACTCATTCAGATGTCTCCAGTGGTACTACCCAGTGTGCTGTGATGATCCAAGCAGGGCATCTGCTTCCTTGGTGGAAACTGTGGTGGCCCCTTCTCTACCACACCACAATCCCTGCTCATTTTCTAGCCCTGATTCTCAGTCCTCCTGCAGACTCTCTGAGCTAACCCATATCCTCCCTAACTCAATTACATTCTGATTAAGTCAATGAGAGATGGTTTCTGTAGTTTACAGTCCAAAATTTCCACCTAGTAAAATAAACAGGAGAGAGAAAACTAGTAAAGAAATGGATCAACAAAGAAATCGGACAGTTGACTGGAGGATTGGTTTTCTGACTAGTCAGAGGAAAGAGTAGTAAAATCTAGTTAAGGTTTTGGGAAGGGAATCTAGCAACACTGACCCTCAGTGGTAAACGGCAACAGTTAATTTAGCACTTAGTCACGTGGAATGATAAGCTCCTTTAGGCAAGTTTGAAGACCATATTGCAAAGAATGAATGAAAAATATCAGTCATAAAGACTGTTGGAAGAATCATTTTTCCTAAGAGCACTGGATAGCTTGAAAAATAAAAAATGACAAATTTACATCTCTAAATTTTCAACCCCCAAATTTTTCCTAATGTGCTAAAAGCAGTATCTTTTGATTTGCAGTCTTTTAAGGCTAAGATAGCTAAGAACCAAGCACAGAATTGCATTGCCAAATTTCAACATCTATTGCGTTGACAAAATCCCTAGGAATGTTATGCACAGGTCATGGCATTGTTCAAGAAAGACTGACCCCAACAGTTGTAATAAAGATGTCTGAGATGTTATGGAAGACACAGAGACCACTGAACATTGAACCCTGACTAGGTCTCGCCTGTCACCTGAATCACATTCCCTACCCTTGTCTGAATGCCCAGTCTGAAGATGCTATAACTCCTTTCCCACATTTCCTTTTGGAAGAAAGCTAATCCTACTCATCCATGGGGGTAGTCATCATCAGGGAAGGCAAGGTCTGAGGGATGATGGGGGACTATGGTGTCATACCCACCCCCACCCCGGCAAATCTAGTAGGCCCAAGTTAGGCCTCTTGTCACCTTGGTATGAGAACAAGAGGTCAACCAAGGCCTTGTAGGTTACAGGAGGTCTATTACTATTACTGAAAAGAATACAAACTGCTTTGGAGTTGAGAGCAGTAAGAGAGATAAAGGAGAAGCTCCTGTTTCTGCCCAAATCCTTCAACCCTCCCTAATTAAAGAAGAACTCACTGATCTCTCTTTTATAACCTAGAAGAATGTAGTTTGGAAGGATCTCACAGTTCTAAGTTTATCAGTAAACAGTAAAGATCTAAGAATCTCATCTTTGTTCACAGAGTACAGATGAGGTCACCCCCTCCTTGTCTGTCATATGGTCTTTCCCTCTCTGTCCTTGGTGCCCCAGATCTTAAAACCCAGGATAACTCTGCCTGGTTTACTCCATTATTTGTTAGAATGTATAACCATTTGAATTCTCCATAGATAGGTAAGTTATTAAATTCATTATTTTTCCTTTGTTCACCCACTTGATGCTATTTTGATTACTTGTCTAGCTCACAAAGAACCCAGAGGGGTAAGGTATAATTTATTTTGTGTACTGACAGCACCAAGATAGAAAGAGTCTGGGCCCCTGGACAACTTCCTGAAGCAGAGCTGCCACACCAGCCCCAGACTGTCTGCCTTCAAACAAAGACATGCGCTATGGGTCACTTCTAAGTCATTGTTTTTTGGGACCTCACTTATACCCAGAAAAACCTATATCCTGTGTTATCTATAGGTTGATACCTTAAAATGTGTCACTGACTTAGGAGGTGACAGAAAAGAATCATTGCATGCTAGAAAACCAGTGACACTTGATATGCTATAGCAACACATTTGTTCCAATTGTCACCTACAGTACATTGGGAGGTATGAACGAGCCCTGTGACTCTGGACAAAATGATTTATTTTAAAAATCAGTGTATTATCACATTTGGGGTGCTCTCTTTCCTTTTTAGAATAATCCAATGAAAGAGGAGTGTTCTAGGGGAAACTTAGCAAAGATGGGCAGTAGGGAGCACAATTCTGTGGAAAAGGGTGCTCTCTCTGCCTGCAGCCTCATCGTAAGTTGCCTTTTGTTACAGACACATCTCTGTGAATGGGGAAGGATTACTAAACATTTAATCTACCCCCACTTAATGCACTTGCCTTGGATTTCAAATCCCAGGATACCATGAATCAAACTTCCTGCATGGGGGAGTTGCTGAGAACTAGGACTGGGGAAATCCTTTCTTCTCTCTGTCTCTATCTCTTTGTCTCTCTGTCTCTCTCTCTCCCACACACACCAATTCTATTAAAATCTTTCACACGAAGAGTATGTTTCCTTTGCCTTTGTGCATATGGACGGCCAGACCCCTTCAAGAATATGCACCCCTGAACAGATGGCAGTCCCTGCATACCCCTAATACTTTAAGTCCAAGAGTATGGGGCTGCTTAGTTAACTGATTCTAGTCCCTAAACAAAATAGCATTTATAAATTAAGCACTAATCTGATAGCAAGAAGTAAGTCTGTGACCACGGCCTTAACTTTTTCAGGCATCTCCTCTTAAGATCTCTTTCCAAGGGTCTCCCTGGTGGCACATGGGTTAAAGACACAGTGCTATCAAGCTGTCATCAGCCACTGCAGCACGAGTTCAATCCCTGGCTGGCCAGGGAGCTACCTACATGGCGCAGTAGACCTCTCCTGTCTCACCCGCTGCTCCCCTCAGCAGTGTATTTCAGTAGATCTGCCTGTTCTGCTCCCCTTTCTCTCTCTGGTGAATCCACTCACCCCCTGCACCTCTGATTTATACCCCAGTTCTTGTATGCATCAATAAATAAATCTTTCAAAAAAAAAATACCATCCCCGTGGTCAAGAATGGATTAAGGTCATTGATTTTTCCCCTACAAAGCAGCTGCTTCAGATGGCCTCAAGATAACTGCCATTAAATTGGATCGGGGATAAGGAGTGAACTGAGCATAAATGTTGGTAAACAAATGTCTAACCCCTTCAGGCTTAAAAATCTAGGTCTAGACAAGACAGTTAGCCATTGAGACTTCTACATGGAATCCACCAGAAGCAAGTAGACAGAAGGCCAAAGATAACACAAGTGTGACATGAAAAACATTTGACCAGCCAACCTTCAAACTGTACAACCTCTAAAGCAGAAGTTGACACAATTTTCATGAAAAGGGCCACCTGGTAAATATTTCAGGCTTTGTGGGCCTGATGTACCTGAATCCACGTCTTGTTTGCAGACTCTTCCACTAGACTCTTGGTGGGAGGAAAGGCCTTTCTTCTCACTCAAACCAGATATTTGCTCTCCCCTTATCAGGCAACCAAAGCAAAGGCAGGTGGGAAACAAGTGACACAGAGAAGCAGGACAGTTAGAATTCCCTCAGGCAACTCTGTGGTGTTGCCCATGTGGCAATGGTGCCAACTATCTCCTGGATCAGTGGGCTGTAACCAGTTCAACTCTGGCGGGAGTTCTGGTCTCCCTGCTTCCCTCCCTGCTTAGTTTCTAAACTTAGTTTCTTCCCCTATTTGGTCAATTCTTTCTTTTTTTTTTTAATTTGGTCAATTCTTGAGAAACTTAATACATTTCCAATTATTTCCTTTTCCTGCTTAAGTTAGTCAGGTTTATATTGTTTTCGTGGTTTGAGGCTTAACAGGCATTACCCCATGTAGATCAGAGTATCAGTTTTGCAACTATCAACACAAAAGTATTAGTAAAATATATGAGATGGTTTGAAACTTCCTCAGGAGACTATGGAGAAACAGAAGTAAGCTGGAGACAGAACCCATGGGAACAAAAACATTCAAGGAAGGGAAAGAAAACAATCTGTAAAAGGAGAGTGATGGAGAAAATGGAACACGTGGGAAATCAAGAGACTGTGTGTTGTGCAAAAGAATGAAGCCAGACCACTCTCTCACACCATACGTGAAAATTAATTCAAAAAGGTAAAACGAAGGAGAATAGATCGAAGACATGGGTATAAGACCAGAAACCATAAAATGCATAGAAGAAAACATTCCACGACATTTGCTTCGGTGATGTCTGGGGACTCAGCTACAATGGCAAGAGAAATGAAAACAACAATAAACAAGTAAGACTATATTAAATTAAAAAGCTTCTGCACAAAGGAAGTAACTATGATTAAAACAAAAAGACACCCAAAAGAATGGGAGAAACTATTTGCTCATCATACATCAGACAAGTGGCTAATATCCAAAATCCACAAAGAACCATACAATGCAACAATAAGAAAACAAAGAATCCAATCAAAAAATGGGCCGAATTGCTAAATAGACACTTCCCTGAAGAAGACAAACAGATGGGCACAGGCACATGAGAAAATGTTCATCATCACTTATCATCAGGGAAATGCAGATCAAAATCACAATGAGATTCCACTTCACACCTGTGAGAATGGCCTGTAGCAAAAGGACCTGAGACAGGGCCTCCCTGGTGGCGCAGCGGGTTGAGTGCAGCGCTGTGAAGCTGTCCACAGCCTCTGCAGTGCAGATTCAATTCCTGGCTGACCAGGGAGAAACCCACATAGAGCAGCAGACCTCTCCTGTCTCACCCGCTGGTCCCCTCAGCAGTGCTTTCGGTCCATCTGCCTGTTCTGCTCCCTACTCTGTCTCTAGTTAATCCTCTCCCCTTCCTGCGCCTCTGGCCTGTACCCCAGCTCTTGTATAAATAAATCTTAAAAAAAAAAAAAAAAAGACCCGAGACAATGTTGGTGAGGGTGTGGGGATAAAGGAACTCTTACACACTGTTGGTGGGAATATAGACTAGTCCAGGCCCTCTGGAAACAGTATGGAGGTTTCCCCTAAACTTAAACTCCATCTACCATTTGACCCAACAATCCCTCTCCTGGTATCTACCCAAAGAATACAAAAACTCTAATTCAAAGAGACACGATCACACCAGTGTTCAATGCAGCACTGTTTACAATAGCCAACCTATGGAAACAACCTAAGTTCCCAAAGACAGGTGAGAAAATAAAGAAGAGGTGCGATATATCCACGATGGAATACTCTGCTAGATATAGGTAGGTAGATCTATAAGATATATGTGTGTAAAAATATATGATAAATATTAATATTTTTATTTACTTGAATAGATAGCATATAAATATAAATTTATATATGATATATATATAAAAGTATATGATAAAATCGTGCTGATGTGACAACATGGATGAAACTAGAGGGGTTTACGTTAAGTGAAGTATGTCAGAAGAAGAAAGACAAATACCAGATTATTTCACTCATGTGGAATATAAAGAAACAAAGCAAAGGAACATACAAAAACAGACCAAAACAAATCCTTGAAATCTGGGGCCTCCCTGGTGGCGCAGGAGTTATCGCCAGCCACTGAAGCATGAGCTCAATCCCTGCCAGGGAGCTACCCACATGGCACAGCAGACCTCTCCTGTCTCTCCCACTTCACCCCTCAGCAGTGTGTTTCAGTGGATCTGGCTGTTTTGCTCCCCACTTCCTCTGGTGGGTCCTCTCACCACCTCCCACCCTGCACCTCTGGCTTACACCCCAGTTCTTCTATGCGTAAATAAATAAATCTTTTAAAAAAAATCCTTGAAATCTGACTACAGAAATGATATAGATAGGTATATGGGGAGGGTGAAAGGTGGGGGGACAAAGAGGTAAGCAGGCCCAACGGACTGTGGTCAAGGTGTATTGAACTTTGGTGGAAGACCTGGTGTGATAACATTCATTGGTAGAGGTGTGAACCAACACACCATTGGAAATCAATGTTACCTCAAGAAACATAATAAAAATAGCCTGACAGAGTATTCTGAAAATGTTAGTTTTCAACATATCCTATATTAACAATCTAATAGATATTATACATAATATATAGCATATAATTATGTCTATCATGTATTCTATTAATAAATCTCAATGAATTCAGAGTTAATCTGGGATGCTGAATCTAAAAATTTCATTAAGGATTTCAGACTGCTATATGAAATTTTCTGTTATTTATAAGAACACGAAGTTGCTCTCTGAGTTAATCAAACATTGTCATTTTGCAGATAAAAAATAAATCTTATGGAAACTAAGTGACTTGCACAAGAAATATCACTAATTACCACCACGTGTAGTGCTTTTAGACCAATGCCGTTTCACTGAAAAGCAGGTGAATTGAAGTAAACCTCTCACCTATTTGCTGTGAGACTGAATAAATATAATCTATGAACAAAGTGTTTTTAGAAAAAGAGAGAGAGTGTGTGTGGAAAGAGATGGAGATCGAAGATCAATTGGAAGTGGAATTTTTCTATGTGTAAATAAGGCACAGAGGGCGTTGGTGACATTTGCAGAAGACACCGGGGCCTGGCAGCCAGCAAGGGTCACAGGCATGGACCTGGTGCTCACGGAAAATAGAAACGCGGATCAATTTTCACCGAGCAAGCATTTTTTGAAGCAAACTTTTAAAATCCAATTCAATTCCAAATATATTTCCTTACCGTGCAGTAAGCAGTTTATCATTTTTTTCATTTTTCATCTTTCTATTTTTGAAATTATTTTCATGAACGTGATTCTTTTCCTCTTCCTTTTCACATCCCAAAGTAGATTCATCCTGCGTTCCTGATCCCTGCACCTGTCCCGTAGAGCATCTGCCCTTGTGTAAAGGCAGGAACGGGGCACAGTGCAGGTTTTCTGATCCCATGCAGACCGGGTAAAGGAGGAATCAGAGTCCTTAGTGGGTTTTTTTGCAGGTTTTTTATTGGGGTTCACCAGGCATATGGCAGGCAGGGGTGTTGGGGTGCTGGGAGGCTGGCAGTCCTCCCAACCCCCAGCAAATCCTCACTCTATCTGGGCTCTCTGGCTTTCTCTGCTTCTCTTCGGCTTCTTTCTCAGCTTCTACTGCTGCTGCTGGCGTCCCCGTGACGCCGCCCTTAAAAGCACAGTCTTAGCTCAGCTGAATCCCATCTACCTATGCCCACACCCTATTCCAGGTGCCCGCCATCAGGCATGCATTCAGGACAAGGATCCGTCATCTATCCTGATGGTGGGAGGGCAGAAAAGCCTGATACTTTCTTTCCCCTACACCTTGTGACTGTGGAGCCATTTTTTAAATTCAACTTTGCAAATTTGCTCAAGTAAATTTATTTTGTTAATTTTCCATCTGTGACAAATTTGATCAAATACAGTGAGAACTGAAGTTGCATTTTGGGGGTCCCTCTCTCTAGTCCGCCAGGCTGGAAGTTAAAGCTCCTGCAAAGGCTCCACCTAGGGAAAAATCCATATGCCTGTGGGGAAAAGAAGTTAAAGAAAGGTCTTGAGGTCTGTTGCTGAGCAAAAACAGTTCCAGAAAGATTGTTATAGAGCAACCCCGATACAAAACGGGGTGCCTGACTGTGGGTCCTCACCCGCGCGCTTAAAAGGACTTATCAATGCTCTACTGCAGGCACACGTGAAAGGTTAATAAAAGGTTTATTTACAAGGGAAAGGGAAATGAGGAAATGTACAGCTATGGGAGAAAAGTGGGAGACAAAGTTTTAAATGCGTCCTACCCGATCCGCCGATCAGGAATCCCAAAATGGCGCTCTCAGAGTTGGCCGCCAGCCAGGAGCGGTGAAGCCAGGAGGCGAGCGATCGCGAGCCAGAGAGAGAGCAAGGCCCACGTGTTTGGTTTTTATATCCAACCTGGCTGCCCAACTCCACCCTCAGGTCCCAGCCACCCTCCCCTTGGTGGTGATGGGATTTGTCTTTCCCAATGTCCTGATGGCTTTAGTCTGGAGTGGGGGTGGAGTCCACAAAGCCTGTATGAGATTATCTCAGGACATCCTTTCCCCCTAACAAGATCACGACAAAGAGCACACAACCAAGATCCCTGTGGGCAGAGTCAGGAGCATGTTCACCCTCAGCGATGGACAGCAGCAGCCTCTGACAGGCCCACCAGAAAGCCTGACGCTTCAAAAGCTACACATGAAATCCTTACCAGAAATACTGCTTGGGGCAGCGCCCCGGCCCACCTGGGACTCGCCTCTTCTTTCTCCTTGTCCTCACAAACTGTCCTCTTAAAATGAAAACATAAATAAATAAGAAAGCCTTGTTTTGATGACTGTTCTGTGATGCAAAGAAATGATTATTTCCTTCTTAACTAAAAAAATGATAACTCATTCGAACTTGAGAGGGTTGGGCAGTTCTCCCAGAGCTGAAGCTGCAAACTTTTCTCAGGTTTGAGTCTCACTTTATCTAACTCTCTAATTATCACTAATTATTGGATCCTTATTTCCATCTGCAGCCGTCTGGGCCTAGCAGCGCTTAGAATGAACTGGATGCACACGGAGAGCTCGTGTTTACTTGGCTGATCCCTGAGAAAAGTGCACAGTTTTGGGTGCAGAGGCACGGGAAGGAGGGGGGTGCAGGAAAGAGTGAAGGGGAACAGGGAGCGAACCCCGAGGCAGGGAGGGGAGCCAGGGACCCCGCAGGTCCGGGTCCTGAGGCTGAGCCCAGCACGTCCCGCCCGAGCCCCGGCCCCGCGGAGCTGCGCCCCCTGGTGGCCGCGGGTTGACTCGCGCTGGCTCAGGCGGGGGAGCCGGGTCCCCAGGGCGCGCCCCCCAGGGCTCCCACCCCCGCGCCCCTCAGCTCTCCCCCTCCGCGCCCCGAGGCCGCAGCAGCCAGTCTGGGCCTCAGAACCGAGACAGCAGTGAGAAAATATCCATGGACTTGCTCTGCTGTAAGAGCTAAGCCACTGGAATGTGGGGGGTCATCACTGCAGCCTCCTTAGCCTGTTTCCCCTGCGACCTGGAGCTGCGGGGCTCCTGCAAGCCCCTCAGCCTCGCTGGGTCTCCGCTCTCACGTGCAGAACACCGCGAAAACGAAGGCCCAGGCCGCGCTGGTGAGAGCATTAGCAACGCTGGCTCTAAGGCGCCTGGCCTGCAGCAGACAGAAAATGGGGGCTCCTTAAAGAAATTTAGTGCCGCCGTAGGAATGCAGTCTGCTTTCATGTAGAAGCTGCTGCCTTGTTTTTCTTTCTTTCCCTGAAGGCCCTAAGATGCAGCCCACTCGAGCAGCAGGAAGGGCAGAGCCCCCCGGAAATTCCAGGACCCCAGGAAACCCTTCCCAGAGCCAGGAAGGCCCGACCTGCTGGGGTGCTAACAAGGCAACCCCGGCACAGCAGCAGGGGGAGTGACTTAGAAACTCCTGCCCAGACTAATAAAGCAACCCCCTCCCCAGGACCACCTGTGCAGGGAACCCCAGAAAGGGATGGAGGGAGCCGCCCCCCACGCCCCAGCCCCGCCCGCATTTGAGCCAGGAGCCCCTCACGGCTCCTGGCGGGGTTCCCGGGGGCTCTGCCCGCCCGGGCCGCCTCCAGGCCGTGCTGTCAGCAGACTTGGAGGCTCTGCCTAGATGCGGCTGATCAAGAACCAAGTCAAGAACCCAGGACGCCCAGAAGCCGGTCCCACCCCCTCCTGCAGGGTCTGCCCCAGGCCTCCCTTCACCAGCCTGCAAGCCCCAGACGTGGGCTCTCATTTCTGGGCCACGAGGCTTCTTGTGCCCGTGAAGGAGCCCAAGCCGAGCTCCCCTGGAAGGGCCTGGGGAAATCATGAGGGCGGGAGTGAGAAGGGCTGGAGGCAGGGACTCCTGGAAGAGGCCTCCTGCAGCAACCCCCTTGCCAGAGCCCGGTGAGCCCATCAAGAGCAGGGAGCGGGGCTCTGTGTGCGGGCCTCGCAGGGTCAGCCTGCCGCCTGAGGGCCTCCCCTCCTCGGGCTGGGCCAGGGGTTCGGCCTGCACCCCAGCAGTCGGCTGTCCTGCCCCCCAGCAGTCGGCTGTCCTGCCCCCCAGCAGTCGCCTGTCCTGCCCCCAGCAGTCGCCTGTCCTGCCCCCCAGCAGTCGCCTGTCCTGTCCCCCAGTAGTTTCCTGTCCTGCACCCCAGCAGTCGTCTCTCCTGCCCCCCAGCAGTCACCTGTCCTGCCCCCCAGTAGTCGTCTCTCCTGCCCCCCAGCAGTCGCCTGTCCTGACCCCCCCAGCAGTCACCTGTCCTGCCCCCCAGCAGTCGCCTGTCCTGCCCCCCAGTAGTCGTCCCTCCTGCCCCCCAGCAGTCACCTGTCCTGCCCCCCAGCAGTCACCTGTCCTGCCCCCCAGTAGTCGTCCTGTTAGGGGGAAAGGATGTCCTGAGATAATCTCATACAGGCTTTGTGGACTCCACCCCCACTCCAGACTAAAGCCATCAGGACATTGGGAAAGACAAATCCCATCACCACCAAGGGGAGGGTGGCTGGGACCTGAGGGTGGAGTTGGGCAGCCAGGTTGGATATAAAAACCAAACACGTGGGCCTTGCTCTCTCTCTGGCTCGCGATCGCTCGCCTCCTGGCTTCACCGCTCCTGGCTGGCGGCCAGCTCTCAGAGCGCCATTTTGGGATTCCTGATCGGCGGATCGGGTAGGACGCATTTAAAACTTTGTCTCCCACTTTTCTCCCAGAGCTGTACATTTCCTCATTTCCCTTTCCCTTGTAAATAAACCTTTTATTAACCTTTCACGTGTGCCTGCAGTAGAGCATTGATAAGTCCTTTTAAGCGCGCGGGTGAGGACCCACAGTCAGGCACCCCGTTTTGTATCGGGGCTGCTCTACAACAGTCCCTCCTGCCCCCAGCAGTCACCTGTCCTGCCCCCCAGCAGTCACCTGTCCTGCCCCGGCTTCCTCTCCGGGCGCACAGCTGACCTTGCCTTGGCAGGAGAGGGAGCACGGCGGGAGGCAGAGGCGATGGGCCCTTCTGGCCCTCCATGCCCTTCCTTCCCCTCACCTGTCCCTGCAGTTCCCTCCCGCAGCTGACCCCTGGGTGTGAAGGAGCAGAAGGTTGACATCCTTCAGCAAATGCTTCTGCTATTCCAGGAACAGGGAGGAGCTTGAGTCTTGAGAAGGAGAGATTATTGCATATTTTAAATGATCGAGACCGGATCGGTAAGATTTCCCTGGGTTTATAAACCTTTCCAGACAGGCAGAAATAAAACTGCCAGTCCCTGGTCTCGAGGTCGGGCTCCACCTGCCGGGCGGGCCTGCAGCGCCCCTAGCGGCGGCCCCGGCCGTCGCGCCCCCGGCAGCCGCGGTGTCCCGCTCAGAAGTTCCACCAGGGGGCGCCGGCGCTCCTCGGAGAGGGACCCGCACGCCCGTCTGCAGATGCTGCTGGAGGGAGCTCGGAGGTGCGGGGCCGCGGTGTCCCCGTAGCCCACCTTTCTTCCCGACCGGGTTTGCCTGAACATGCAGCCCGCGGGTCTTTTTTTTTTTTTTTTTTTTTTTTTTTAATAGAAGCATATTTTATTTATTTATTTATTTGTTTGTTTTGTTTATACATGCACTGGGTACAGTCAGAAGCACGGGAGGGTGAGAGAATTCACCAGAGCCAGAGCGGGGAGCAGAGCAGGCAGAAGGACCGAAGTACACTGCTGAGGGAGCAGCGGGCGGCAGGAGAGGTCTGCGCGCCATGTGGGACCCTCCTCCGGTGGCCGGGGAGCAGCCAGGGATCAAACCGGCGCCGCAGAGGCCGCGGGCAGCTTCGCAACCCAGCGCTCAACCGCTGCGCCACCGGGGAGGCCCCCGCGGGTCTTTTTTAAGGCTGGAACCATATTACCTTCCCTGTGGCAGTCCCTTCCAGCTAACAGCAATAATAAAATACTAATGATGGTGGTGGTGATGGTGATGATGTAATCCTGATAGCAGCAGGGAATTTGTCCTGCCGCCTCGCCTGGAGGGTTTTCTGGCCCAGAGCAATCTTGTTTTGGCTGCTCCTGATAAGGAATTAGCTTTTGGAGACCTGAACTATTGCCTCACCTTCAAATGTTTGCAAGATGTTAATTAATCATACTTGCATTTGCATATTCATCTAGCTTTTAAAGGGGTTTCCAAAAAAATATCTCATTGCACCCCTAGAGTGGCAAGCGCACTGGCATCTGAGGTATGGGTTCTGGTCTCCTCCTGCCCTCAGCTGTGTGACCTTGGATGCAGCTCCAGAACAGGAAACTGAGGTGGCATTATTCTCCTCGCCCCAACTGGGAGGGGGGTACAGAGGGAGGTCTTGTCTCATGATTTTCATGATTTTTTTTAAGTTTTATTTATTTTTTTTAAAGATGTATTTATTTATACAAGAATTGGGGTACAGTCAGAGGCGCGGGAGGGTGAGAGAATTCACCAGAGACGGAGCGGGGAACAGAACAGGCAGACTGAAAATCACTGCTGAGGGGAGCAGTGGGCAAGTCAGGAGAGATCTGCTGCACCGTGTGCATTGCTCCCAGGCCAGCCGGGGATCAAACTCATGATGCAGAGGATGTGGATAGCTTCATAGTGCTGTGCTTAACCCCTTGCGCCACCAGGGAGGCCAAAGTTTTATTTATTTATGCATACAAGAACTGGGGTGTAGACCAGAGGTGTGGGGGCAGGTGAGAGGACTAACCAGAGACAGAGTGGGGAGCAAAACAGGTGGAGCCTCTGAAATACACTGCTGAAGAGCGCAGCAGGCGAGACAGGTGAGGTCTGCTGCACCATGTGGGTCAGCTCCCTGGCCGGGGATCGAACTGGTGCTGCAGTGGCTGCAGATAGCTTCATAGTGCTGAGACTTAACCCCTTGCGCCACCAGGGAGGCCTCATATCTCATGATTATTTGTGAGAATAAATATGGGAGTGGTCAGACCCCCACCATGGGTCCCCTACAGCAGGATCTGTAGGCAACCACTAGTGGCTGTAAGACCATTCGAGATGCTGCCTCTGTCTCTGCCCCCAGCTCTGCCCCGGTTTATTGCACTAAGCTCCTCCACACAGGGTGGGGAGGAGCCAATCTTCAACTCCTAGCCAACCTAGCTTTTTTCTCCGCAGATGGTACACCTGAGGACTTTGAAATACAATAAATGATTCCATTTTAATGATCATATTAATTACAAAAATAGCTTTTCACTGGAAGAAGAGAAAGACAGGAGATTTCAGGAAACCTTATCTCACAATAGAGTCACAAGTGACGGCAAATGCACTTATTCCAAGAACCAACGCTATTTGCATTTGCTGGTGCGTGAGTGTAGTTCAAAGACTTAAACCAGGTGGCTTTCAGAAAATCTTTGCTCGTTTATTTTTTTTCTGACAAGTATAATCGCTCTGATGTGTTGCATTTACATAGCGCCTTCACCTGCACCACCTCACAGGTTTTCCTCACAGCTTCTTCGTGTTCTTTGTCTGTTATTGCCTTGATTCTCTGTGTCCCCAAGAGAGGCTTCCCCCCACCTGTACCTGACATGTGTCTCATGAAAACTTGGAGGAGGTGACTCGGAGCCCAAGGGTCCGTGACTCTCACATGGCCAGGAGGAAGGAGGGCTGGACAGACACACAGCCAGCCCTCAGGCTGTCAGCTCCTAAGCAAGGTTCCTGGGGACTCAGAGGGGCCTCCAGGCCGTGGCTGACCGCTCTGCGGGGGTGGCCCATCTTGTGGGCTGGCACCAAGTGTCCCCACTAGGCTGAGCATGGACAGGTTGAGCACTGGCTGGGAGCCGGGCCAAATGGGGGTTCTGAAGCTGCCATTCCTGAGGGGCTGCAGACCATAAAGCCTCCCCAAGGCACGTCACATTTTTTTATTTTGTTCTCAGCCCTGGCAATTCTTCATTGTCTTGAACATATTTGCTTTGGGTTGTTAATCTGCAGTAGGTGTCATTGTGAGAATAACCAAAGTCAGATGAATGTGGTAAAAGATGGACAGTGTTGGGCCTGGCCGGTGGCGCAGCGGTTGAGTGCTGAGCTGCAAAGCTGCCCGCAGCCTCTGCAGCGCCGGTTCAATCCCGGGCCACCGGCCGCCAGCGAGGGTCCCAGATGGTGCGCAGACCTCTCCTGCTGCCCGCTGCTCCCCTCAGCAGTGTACTTCGGTCCTTCTGCCTGCTCTGCTCCCCGCTCTGGCTCTGGTGAATTCTCTCACCCTCCTGCGCTTCTGACTGTACCCAGTGCTTGTATAAATAAATAAATAAATCTTTAAAAAAAAAAGAATTTCAAACTGCGAAATTTCCAATCATGTCCAATTTTATTTTTTTTTTTTTTTTTTTTTTTTTTATAGAGGCATGCTTTATTTATTTGTTTGCTGGTTTGTTTGTTTGTTTTGTTTATACATGCACTAGGCACAGTCAGAAGCGCGGGAGGGTGAGAGAATTCACCAGAGCCAGAGCAGAGAGCAGAGCAGGCAGAAGGACCGAAGCACACTGCTGAGGGGAGCAGCGGGCGGCAGGAGAGGTCTGCGCGCCATGCGGGACCCTCCTCCGGTGGCCGGGGAGCAGCCGGGGATCGAACCGGCGCCGCAGAGGTCGCGCGCAGTTTCGCAACCCAGCGCTCAACCGCTGCGCCACCGGGGAGGCCCCATGTCCAATTTTAGATGACAAAGTTTCTCAGTGAGCAAAAACACAGTAGTCCCTCCAAGGAGGGGCTTGACAGAGCCTGTGGGGGCAGGGGAGGGGTGACTCCTGCTAACCGTGCAGTTGCTTTATTGTCTGTCACTTCAGCACAAACTGCCAGGCAGGCGGCTCCTTTCTCAGTCCAAGGAGGATGGGGCTGGTCCTGCTTCTCATTACGAGCTGGGTCCCATGGTTTGGGCCCCCCAGACTGAGTCCCCTGACTTGGGGCTGTGAGGCGGGAGCCATGGGGCTGCAGTTAGCAATACATGCCATCATTTTAGAAGGGCTGCTTCCTTGGGGCTGCCTCCCGGGCCTGTGTGATCCCTGGGAGGGGGCAAAGAGGTCCCACATGTGAAAATGAGGCTCCAGCCCCAGAGCTGAGGAAGACCCTCAGACAGCCCCGCTGCTCTTGCTTCACTCCACCTTGGCAAGTGGAAGCCACGCCTTTAGAACGTTTCAGAAAAAACTCTAAAATCATGAAGCCTTCAACAAAGAGAAGCTTCCAGAAGGCCACAGGTGGCCCAGGCGGGTGGCACTGGCCCCTCAGCACCTGGCTCCGTCTGCAGGTCCCAGGCGTGACAGCAGCTCCCGCCAGTGTGTCACCGACAGGACAGGAGAAGCAAGAGCACCCCCCCACCAAGTGCAAGACTAGGAAGGGGGTGGATGCCGTCAGCTCACATCTTGTTGGCAGGACTTGGTTTCATGCAAAGGCTGCTGGGAAAGGTCCTCAGTTTGGCAGCCACAGGTCCAGGTGAACATGGCCAAGGGTCAACTCCAAACACCAGAGACACACGCTGGTTGCGCTGGGCTCTGACTCTCACACGCAAACGCTCTGCTCTGTTCCCCTGGGTCCCGCCTCGGCCTCTGCAGCACCCGGGGATTTGATGCTTGGGGTTTCCGCCCCGGGAAAAATGCAATGGCCAGACTCTTGCTCTGACGTGCTGGGAGCTTGTTTACCAGCCTCCCCTTCAGCGTCACTCACCGCCCTCCCAAGCCCAGTGCCTGCCTGTGGCAGCCGGTTGTCCTCTGCTTCCCAGCGCAGGGCTTTGGGGTGGGGGGGAGGCCTCGCCCGGGGCTCCTGGGAGCACCAGAGCATCCCGAGACTGGTTGTGGCCTCCAGGGCTTCTCCCCACTCCCCGCCGCCTCCAAACAGCTTGTTCTCTTCTTCCCACAGGGCCTGAAGGACGGGCAGGTGCGGGCAGAGGCCCTGAGGTGGTGCAGGCTCTGTGCCCGGCCCACAGGGCACTCCCGCCTGGGTGACTCTTGGCCAGCGACCCCCCGGGGAGGCTGCAGGGCGGGCAGCAGACACAGGGCAGCCCCAGGTTCCACAGCCACATTCCACACTGGACCCAGACACGGTCCTCCACAGCCAACACCCGCACCCCCTCAGCCCTGGGGGACCCGCAGGCACCTGCTGCCCACCCCAGGCACAGACCACATGGCCCAAGGGGCGAATTTCCACTTGGGTCGGGCCCAGAGGAAGTGGAAACTGGAGGACACTGGGGACCCTTCATCCCATCACAACCGCAGCCACCTCGCACCCCGACACAGGCGCCCAGGTGGCCATGGCGGAATCCCCCAAACAGATTCGCGCGAAGTGAGAGGAGCTTAATGTGCTGAGAGGCGGGTAAGTGC